TCCCGATTACGTTAATGTGCTCGTTATATCGTTAGCGATGCACCGGCCCCGGAGAGGATGTTAAGATTATTAAGGCGACGTCACGGCGCACGTTTTCAATTAACCCGTCGTTTCGATCGTCCGCGACAAAAGAACGCGCCGGGGTACCGGAAGTCGGAACTATTACGACCGGTTCGCAGAGACGGCGCAGCTATCCGGGCGCAATTGCATCGCGGAGCCATCGTTACGAAACTCGACCTTTTCCGTCGCGCGTTTTACAAGAGACCCGTTCGCGAAATTCTTCGATCTCTCTCTCCCACGTTCGTCCCGCCGATAAATCTCCTCGACGACCGCCTCTACGGGGAAGGTTCAAGTTTGTCGTGGAATCTATGCATTCCGCTCGAGCCGCGCGATTAACACGAAACCGGGGACCGTTCGCGGTTGGATTCTCAACAAATTGTTTTCCAACCGTCGTTCGAACTTATTTTATCGTTGCTTGGAATGAAACATGATTCCAATCGTACAAATCGAATTTCGATGATCAAAGTTAACGCGTTCACTGTCCAGTTCTATGAACCAGTCCAGTGAACCTGTTAATGAATCTATAAAATTTTAATTTTGTCTCGATAGATCTTCCAGTGACCTACGATTAAATACCGCATTAAATCGTGGTAAGGGAAAGATAATTAAGCGTTCCGTTTTCGGTTGAAATTGACTGCCTTATTCGTTCCAAGCTCAGAGTACGCGACACTCGTTTCGTAGTCGTTAGAATTCCGCGTAAATGGGACACCCTGTATTCGCGTGGTTGTGTAATCGGCCTTACGGATAAACGGATACACACATTTGTGTAAGTACATTCGCAAGCAGGGAGGTTCGTATCACAAAACGGCCAAGTGAAAGGATAGGCACGAGTTCATCTTGTGTCTCAACCTCCGAGCAGCCTTCTCGAATATATCCTTTCGTGCTGCAAGTGCGTCAGCTATTCGCATAAAACAACAGTTAATTCAACGCGCGTTCGTTTCGCTGACAAACGATGCAGTCGCGTTTTATAATAAAATCCACGCCCGTAAATCTATGCAGACTGGATGCACCGAATTTTCGAAACGTCGAGAATATTCACAGAAGACTAGTAGCATATCAATTTTCAGTATTTACTTTCTCCGCGAGACTCCAGATATTTGCAAATGTAAATAACGCAATTTTCCATAAGGAAAAGAAGAGCATTATGCAACGTCACGCGGAATAATAATTAGCACAGAACGCGTGGCGAACATCTTGACGGAGTGTGGAACATCTGTTTGCCTCGAAGTCGAATCGTTTCGAAAAAGAAAAAAAAGGAACGTTTGGAACTGTGACTGAGTCGTGGAGTTCGAAATAGCGACGTGCCAAAATCACGATGCGTTTGGCAGACGCGCGAAAGATGCACCTGCATCGTGGCTGCATCCTCGCCGATCACCGGCCAGATGTGCCCCACACCAGCCTTAAAACTCCGGCGAATATTTCTGGCTGCTCCAAACGGATACGGTAAACCTCCATTTAGAACCAATTCTCCAACGATTTATCCCCGAAAGAAGCTCGCAAATAGGATTTATTTATGATTCGAATCTAAGGAGAAACAGAGAAGAAACGAATGAGTAAAATTGCATTGAGAAATAGAAAGTTGTACGAATTACGGATTTAATGTCTGTTCGTAAAATGGTGGATTGTGAAATACCAATTATGAAAGGATCATTTCTGATCGAATTGTCGCGTTATTAAATTTGTAAATTTTCTGGACCAATTTCCTTGCATACGAATCAGGTAATTCAGTATCGCGAGATCGTGGAATCGTCTCAATTAATTTCACCGTTGTTTATCAGCATAATAGGATATTTAACCGAGCTTGCGTCGATCCCTGTCCTTTTTTCCAGGAGCTTCTTATCGGCCCATGGCGTGCGACCAGCACGATCATAACGCGTCTCGACGTCTTCCGCACATGGAAACCAGAGTAACCAGTGCAGCGAGTAAAAAGCTGCAGCTGTCACTGCACGGCAGCTGCAACGTCGGTGCATCGAGGCTAGCGATGGGAATAACGCGATTCTAAGTCATTCACGGTGATTTCCAATTTCCCGTAAATTCGCTTGAAAGTTTGAACTTCTCCAAAGGCCACGAAAAATTAACCCAATTTCTCGTTTCGTGCGAACAGTAAAACGGAAGTACCAAACAAGCTAAGCATTAAACAGGAGTCTTTTACAATTTGGGAATACGACATTCGTAAATTCCTCGCTTTTTAAGAAACAGTGATTTCTTTTATTAGATAACTCTGGTTTGAGGGAACCGTATCCACGTATTGGAAATTATTGGGAACGAGTTAAAAAATTAAATTTGTACTTGGATAAAAATTCTAAAATTTCGAGAGGATGTCTAGAGAGGTATATACAAGGTGTCCCGTAAAAACGGGCATCGCTAATCGTTCGGTCTCGATCGTTTGAGCGTTACGGTTGTTTATCGGTCAGCGGCAGCATTCCGTGCATATGCAACTGCACACCCAAGATGGATGCGCGGAGATGAGAGAAAGTCGGGGATCCTGGCCTCGAGGTTGACTTCGAGAAAATAACCAAGTGTTCGTGGCACGTATCCACACAAGCGATAAAGTAGGCGTGATCGTACCGCGGGGATAATGTCAACGAATGTCTTGCCATCTCCTCAGTCAATGTTGCTACCATTTTTTATCTGTGGACAATACTTTGGCCCACAGTCTTTAGTTTACAACGTTCGATATGCAAAATAAATTATGTCCACCACTTTAACCCTTAAGTGAGCTCTCAATCTCAACTGAATCATTCATTGCTAAATGGAAATCCACTTTCCTTCAAAGCATTTAAAAGCTAAACAATTAATAGTTTAAACTTGCGGCCCCACTAGTCCACTTAAGGGTTAAGAAAGAATTATTTTCTCAATTTCTTTGCTTCTCCGTCGTAGTTTTTTCAATTTTATAATTTTCAGCTTCGTGTTCGAGATACACGACAAGTCCAAGTTTATAAATATACGAATGTCTTACGCGTGCACGTGTAGCGCGATCAGCTGATCGTAACATACACAGCACGTGTTGGGTGTCTCATTAGCGAGCTTCGACTTCTCGTATTTCGAAAACGAAGCTTCGGGTTTACGAAATGATAGACTCGTCGATCTCTTCCGTGATTCCCAAATGTATCCATTTTTCTGGATCAAATGAAATATTCCCCGATTTAGTGGAACGACGGAAAAGCTGGAAGGAAGAGTCGCGGTGACTCAGAGTCTCGTTTGCAACGATTGGGTTAGCCGTTTCTTATTTGCATATTTTCCAACGAAACGAAACGTTAGACAGGGGAGTAGGCGAGAAACGAAGGTAGAAGCTCACGGGTGCACGTGGTCGCAGCTGCATGCGATAATAGGTAAATAGTCTGGAGAATGGCCGATGCATGTGACCCCATTATTCTCCCTTGTCAATCGGATTGTTTCGAGTTAATAATTCACACGACTGCACCGAGCAACATCAACGACCGACGTAATTTAATATTCGTTAGTCCGTAATTAACGTAATCGAATATGAGCCCAAGCGCGATTCGACGAGTTTTAATTGGGGACGTGGAACCTCGTAGGATCGAATTCCAGCTGCAACTCGAAGGGGAAACGGAACTTTTCGACGAGAATGAGTTACAATCGTAATAAATCTTCGTCGCGGATAGAATAAATCATCTTTTCGCGTTTACAATCGTTCGTTCGTCCTTTCGCGCGGTTCACACTCGACGGGGAGAATCGTACAAATTACATTGACGAAACATTTTTTAGAAATACCTAATTAAAAATATATTCCTTCGTTTTTAGAATCTTTTGTGTCGATGTCAATTACATTTCAAGGTTTTTGCAAACAATTCGACGTAATTACGCGTCGCGCATCTGGCAAATTTTAGCATCGCGGGGCGATAAAGGAACAGCTGACACGCGGTTCCACAAATTGATACGATCGTTCCAAAAGAATCGAAAATGATGGTCGCACGGTACTCGTATTTTCTTTTTTGGTAACAAATAATTCTGCCAGCGTAAAAACTTTCTGTTAACGCGTTCATTGCACAACATTGAGATTGAGGATGATGCGCGTATAGAAAGAATTTGTTCAGATTTCCGAGAACGTATAGTATAAAACGAGACGAGATATCGCAGGATTATCGTAAGAGGATAGTGGCGAAACATCGCTGGAAGTCCTTGCGAATAGCGAGGAATTTATAAATGAGGTATTCCGAGCGTGAAGGAAACGCGGCTGCGATCGCTGGTGCACATCTCGACGAGTTCATCTTGATGTGACCCCGTGAATCCACCGGTATCTACCATACTTTTTCGAAAAGATCGTTGTTGTACTAATAAACTATCCTAACAGCACTCTCTGGCTTCCAAACGATCGCTAACGTAAGCAGTATTGGAAAGAAAAAGCCTCTATAGTCGAGGATGCACACCCTATACGTATTCTAAACAATTACAATATTAAGTTTACGGTATCGTCATCTTCCCATATCTGACTATTCATAATGTAAAGCAATGTGTTGTTAAAGAGTATCGACACCTACGAATCATAGTGCAATAGTTTGGCTAGAATGCACACCAAAAGCTAGGGCTACGAGTTCGTGGAATATTTTTATTACTCGAAAAGATATCGAATTTACTGGAGCCTGGAACACGTGTGAATTGATGCCAAAGGGACGCCATTACGGTCACCCGCGAGGAGAAGCGAGCCATTGTCTGAATGGACTTTCCTACCTGCCGCGACTAGCAATGTCCGAGATTTGTATTTCAAATCGCGACCCTGGTATTTCCGTGGACAGCCGCCACCGTCGATCGTGAATATTTAATGTCGTTTTCTAACGATACCTCGAGGCTCCGACGCGTTTTTGGTTTCCCTGTTCGCTGACTGGGAAAAGAAAACAACGAGGCTAGTGCACCTGAATCGCCATTTTACTACGAGGATCCGTAGAGCGTTCTATTTGCAATTAAAATCGTTTACTCACCGGCCACGAAATCCAAATGTCATTCTAAAGGCACTGAATTCCTTGGGTACGGGTGCCCAGGATGAAACACGAACGCCACTTCGCGCGAGATTCACTCCGGCGATGCGACGTTACACTAAATAGTCCTTCGAGCACTGTGCAGAACTCGCGAGCCGAGAGTCCCGGGATCGCAAAACGGAAGAAAACGATCCGTCCCGGCCGCGCTCTATCCCGCGTGGAGCCAGGAATTTCGTCCCTCTACGTCCATCCTCGTCGGAACGTTTCACGTTCTGCATGAAAAATAAATACGTCACCCGTTAGACGACATCGTCAACGCGTACCCGCGACGGAAACAATATTTATACGAAAGCTGCCCGCGACGGAGACCCTCCAACGACAATCCCTTCCACGGAAGCGTGGACAATGGCTTTCGTTGGATCGTAGTAGCTTTAATACCGCGTGTCTCTCCCGTTGGAAGAGTCCCCGACGCGAATAGAACGGGGTAAAAGTGACTTCAAGGATCGGCACGAGCCTCGAAACCTTTGGATCCAACGAAGGGCGAGAATGTCGAGCGGTACTGGCCACGAGGCGGTCGGAGGATACACTAATCTGGCACGGGAATCGCTTGTGCAAAGTCAGGTCGTTATCAGCGGGAGGGAAACACCTCGATAGTCCAGCCGTGGTGAGCGACAGCGTAACATCGACTGCGTAGCGCACTCGACGTGTTTCCAGGTGGAAGGTGCAGTAGGCGCAACACACCGTGGCTGGCGAAACGAGCGGGGAAACTGAAGTCCCATAGGATACACGGTTGGCTCTATACACTGTGTACACCTAGATAGTTATGAAGGCAGGTGCCGGTAGACAGGTGAACGTGGCGGAACACAGGAAGTGCCAGAGACAGAGAGGCATTACAAAACCGTGGAACGGTGGGGAGCCACGGAAGGCAATGGGAATGAAGGGAAGAGGCCCAGGAAGAAAGAATGCCGTGCGACTCGAGCAGTCGCGTGCCCCGTCCTAACTAAATTAATATTCCACGATAAATTCGCCACACCTTGGCCCCCTAGATACCACCGTCCCTATTTGGACAAGGTCTGTTTTGGTATTCTCTGAGCCAATACAAGTATCCCCTTTGCAACACGGTCTTCAATCGACACTGTTTCGCTCTAACCTCGAGATTTGCTCCTCTATGGAATTTTATAACAACTCTGAGAACCTTTGTACGAATAGTCGGGTCATACAAGAGAATGGGCCCCAAATTTACTAGGGAAAATAGTACACGTACAAGGGGTCAATCTAATCCAGGAATGTGCCGACCTATAACGGCGAGTACACCCTCGAAATAACCAAATAACGGCCAAATAAACTCCTCGTTCTACCTCCCGTTCACGCCATAAACGGTCAACGAAACAGCGACGGTAATTCGTAGAATCGCCGCTTCAGGTAGGCAAGACACTTGATTAGCGTCGAAACGAGCAACTCGAGGTTAACTAAGTTAAGCTACTCGACGAATCCGTCTCCCACCGTTAAGAGCCTTCAACGAGCAGCGAAAAACTGTGACAGTGGCTTCGAGACGGCCACTCGGGAATGTGTGCCCGGAGAGCTTGAGAAAATGGCCCTCGACTGGATTCGATCGTAAAGACTAACGTTAGTTTGCATTAGGCGCAAAATGCGGAACTTGGAGTGACTAAGGATTCGTCGAGCCTGAATGATGTCGCGTTTTTAGGCGATTGGATATTTGCGTGTACAAAGGGAGACGGGACCTGCAAATATTTGCAGGGAATATCGGGCATAGATACGCGTAAATGCATGCATTACATCACCATTAGTCAGCATTTGGTATCGCATAAATTAACGACTAATACTATTACTATCGCGAAATAGCATTTTACGGGCGGAAAGATGGATTTCCCTCGCGTCGCTCGGTGCCTTTCTTTATAGCTCGTCGCAGAAGATCTTGCGGTCTAAGGAATCGAGCGAGGCGGAGCAGATAGGCGAGCATGGAATTCAACGACGTCGCCATGGCGTTATCAACCCGCCACCCTATCTCTGGACTTCGCTGCTCACGGGAGACGCACACCATCGAATAGGGCCGCGTTGTTATGCTACTTGCGACTCGACGGTGTACAGGAATAGCTTGTGCAGCGCAGCCCCACCTCTGCGTCCCACGTGCGTGTATGCCGTACGCCATATTTCCCATGCGCAAGAGTGCAACACCATCCGACGAAGTCGTTGACTGGAAAACGAGCAGGAGGGCTAGGCAGAGTAGGGGGGATGGCGGCAGGGTACGCTCGTTTATTCGCACTTTTACCCGGTTCCGCTCTTAAGTGCGGCCAGTTTGTTTATCGGCCACTTCTTGTTTCGAGGAACGAATCTTCGACACCCTCTGTTTGTTATACTTTGCACTACCGGAAGTTTCGATTCCGGGCCGCTCTCACGGCGAACAGCAATCTAAACGATAATTATATTTTATATTGCAACATATCTACCAGTTACTTATCCACTGTAACTAGACTTCAAATATCAGAAAGAGTTTGGTACGGTCGTAACCTTGGTCTTACTTGGATGTCGCGTAACAAAGAGCACGGAAGAGCGGTTCTTGAAACCTCTGCATGGCGTGTAACTTCTTTTCTAGAACGATGTTAATCGATCACAATGCATGCGCGTTTGCTTTAAACGCGCCTCTTTTCCCAGAAAAATCGCCGGACCGTTAAACGCGTTGCCTGTACTCTATGGCCATCGCCATGGATAAAGATACGATACGTGCAAGTACGGAGTTCCACTTTTTGCACCGTAGAAAATCGCGTTACGGGCTTTGTTTTTTTTCTATCGGTCTTTAACAGCCGTCAATACGCGCGCATTCTCGAGTAACACGATAAAATACTGAATATCATTCGAATAGATTAGTCACGGTCTTTCTTACCTCGATCAGGTGAAAAGGAAATAGCAGGAAAAATTGCATCGTGTCCGTTTGTATTCGAAACAACGGGAGCTTTCTTCTTCAAAGTAGGAAACAGTTGTTCGCGTGTCTTTCAGTTTGATTCCGCGAGAGCGATAGAGAGCGGGGAAGACCGATAAAAAGTTGAGATTACGTTAAGAATAGCCAAGAACGAGAACGGTCCATTAAACGAGGAAGAAAATCCTAACCTAAAAAAAATCCAAGCAAACAGGCAGGATCAGAGACTACGTGTTTTTGTTCTTGTTATAAACGAGATACATTCGTCGGGAAATCAGATATTAAACGATGCACGATCGATGGATTTACTCGTGATCGTAATGTTACGTTTGAGCTGCGTGACTTCCGGTAGAACCTGCCTTTCCTGTGCCCCCATCGAGCGACCCACGCGCCATGCGCTCTAAGGTTTCTTTAAAACAGTTCCTTCCCGTTGGGGGCATCTCGTCGAGTGCAGCATTATCTTTCTAAAACTTGGTTCAGATGGCAGTACAATGCAGCGCCAGCTAAATATCATATTCGTACTGACAAAATAATCATCACGTACAATCTTACGCGTGTTTCCTCACGTCCCTTCTTTTATATTTTATACACTCCTAGTTTTTACGAATAAGTCTCGAACGTATATGACAGATTTATAAATTAACATAATTCTGAAAATCATTGAAAAATGCTTACCGTTCGAAGAACTTTCGCCCATTGGCATCGACTGAAACTCTTTCGGCGGACGAAATGATTCTCGATGTCTCGGCTTCACCGTCCAGTAATAAAAACGCTTTCTGCACTCGGTGTGGTTCGTTATTACCTAAAGCGTGATCGTGTATCGATACTCTGCTCTCAATTCCGATGCCAGAATCACGAGAGTAATTAAAATGCTCTAATAATCGTTCTAACAACTCTTGCATCGCGCGTTTCCTTTTTACGGGATTCTCTCTCGACGAAAACTGTATTTCCTCACTTCCTGTTACGGATCGTTTTCTTGAAGTTCCTTCCGATTCTTCGCGATCCGACGTTTGTGCACCTCTGTTCACTAAAAATTGTCATAGCACTCATAACCATGTTCGATCGACTATTTCGTCGATTTTGAATGTCTTAACCATTTTTACCCAATATAATGTTGCGTTCGTTTATGGTCGACAGCAAATTTGTTAGTTTATCCTTCTTGTCGTGCCACTGTTCAGTAACGAAATTTACAGAATTGTTTCTTAATTTTCGATATTTGTCGATGATCAATGGATTCTTAAGTTTTCTTAAACGTTTCGTGAACCACATGTTCGAAGCACTACTGTTTTTTAATGTTTCTGAAGAATTTCTTTGGTTTTCTTTCGTTTCTATCGCGATGGACTCTTTATTCTCCAAATTTTCCGAATATCTGTCAGCAATGTTCCAAGTATTTTCTGATTCTTGATTTTTCACCCGGGGCACCAAACTGCGAAGCTTCGCGTGTAAATTCTCGATTTCCTCGAGCTTCTGCAGAATGTCTTTCACGTATTTTTCAGACATGTTATGTTTCACAAAACACGTCGCATGCTTATTTGGATCAAAAAATTTGTACACTGCAGTGTTTTGAGCGATTTATACCCATTGAATAATTTAAGAACAGATGAGCCACGTATGAAATTGAAGTTACTTCGTAACCGGGCTTACGACATAACCTACATTTCAGCGGAAGAAATAATGGGGACGTTCAATGTAACGTAAACAAAATTATTCATTGAAATCCGTAAATCTTAATACTCCATTACCGTAAACATTTGTTTTGAGTATATACAATGTTGTTGAATAAAAGTACCGATAAAAATGTTAACATCTGCGAAACAGGCAAAACCAAACCGTTGTTATTGTCGAGTCCATGATGAAGGAGTGAATCTAAATGACATCGCGAAAATTATAACCACTTTAAATCATAAAACTCTGCTATTGCGAAACGAGGTTAATGCGTTTAAAAATGTCGACGCTAATGGTGAGAATAAATTCTCTGAAAAATTGAAGAGCACACGTGAACGATTGTCTGCAAGCAATCGTGAAAGACAATCTGACATCTTTAGACGTAATGTAAAACTTGATCAACTTACGATTCCGGAAGAATCTAAATCTTTTCGAAGAATCGAACGCGATCTAATCAATAAAGAAACCTTGAACAATATAGTAGAAACAAACAATTTGACCACAAACGAAATATGCCAAAATCGAGTGAAAAATAATACATACTGTAATCGTGTTTACGAAATCCCGCCAAAAATAAGAAAAAAGAAAGTTTCTAGAGGCACTCAATGTTATTCAGCGATGGAACGTAAACGAAAACGAAATTTTTTTAATTGTTTTAAGACAGAGTCGCAGATTAGGGAATATAAGTTATTTCAACAAAATAAGAAAGTTAAAAGCTCACCGAAAAACAACATTCACGTAACCTTCGATCTTCGGACAGAAGAAAATGAATCATCAAGTAATAGAATAAATGACGAAAATATGTTTAAAAATATAAAACGAGAAAATTATGAAAACGGCGAAGATAAGTTAAATAAAACACTTGATTGGACGTTTCAGTCGGTTAAAATCGAACCCAAAACGAGGAAAGAAACGTTAAACCAGTTTAAGAAGTTGCAAGGAAATAATATTTTTAAAGCAGAGTTGGTTAAGAATAAAGCAATTCTGGAAAAAGATACAGAAAACGAACATGAAACTTTTGAGAGTTTGGAAGCACGACGTATGGGCGGTGGCGCAGAATTGCGCGGGAATCGCTTAATTTCGGACTTTAATAATAAAATGTGTAAAATTAATTTATATAAGAACGTAAAATTCGACGCGAAGAATGTAAAAAAAAGATTGGATGCTTGTATATCTGAATTAAATGGGATAATCGAAGATGTTTCCTTAATATTCCCGGATACAGAACCCAAACCAATCCAGACCTAACCCAACATCTCAAAAGAATAGAATAAAAACATTTTTACGACATGCACTATAATGATTAAAAAACAAAATTTTGTGATTTTAATAACACGATTGAATTAACATACACGATTCATTGACTGAAAAAAGAACTGAATTGTTCTTAATATTTTCTACAACTTTTATGAAATTCTTTAATTTTTTTGTTAATAAAATCGATTTGTGGGACTATAATATTGACTAAAATATAGTAGGGAATTTCGTTACATGAATAGTGTAGGTGTAATCTCGCGTGAATGTAACAGAGACTATGGTCGTTAATAATAGTGCATGTATGTGCACTCACGTTGCAATCGAATTAAATAAAAATAATCGAAGTGTACTCTCAAGATGCATGAGCGATTAATGTTCACCGAGACTTATGGGAGCGAGAAAGACAGATTTTTTGTCAAATCAAAAGGTAACAGCAATCTGACGTATTAAACGTCACTGGTGCATCTAACCTATTGTTTATTTTGTTCTGTAGACGAGCAATCGATAACCGAAGTATTGTCAGACACGACAAGGACCAAGTCTTTTTATTCTGGTTTCGTATCGATTGTGAAAGAGGTATTTTTACCTCAAGGATATCCCGACAGTGTTCATCCCGATTATACTCTCTATCAAGTATGGGATACAGTTCAGGTTAGTTTACATAGGCTTTGGATGAAGCTGGTTGCAATATGATGAATGAAATTATTGTTTACACGTGGAGCCATCATTGCATTATCTTGTTTTGTGTTTAAGGCATTTGCAAGTACCATAATGGGAACTCTAACAACACATTCCATTATGCAAGGGGTAGGTGTTGGCGAGGCTGAGGCAACACCATTAGCAGCAGCTGTAACATGGATACTGAAAGATGGGACTGGAATGATCGGTCGCATTGTATTTGCATGGTGGAATGGGTAAATGAAGTCATGTCAGACTCCCATAGTTTGATATAATTTTATATAAACACAAAGGTTCTTTTCAATTTATTAGGACAGATTTAGATGGACAGTGTAAAAAATGGAGATTTTTTGCTGACATTCTTAACGATTTAGCAATGGGAGTAGAATTGCTCTTACCTTATTTTTCCTCCTATTCGCTTGTAATATTGTGCATTTCGACAGCAATGAAATCAATTGTTGGTGTTGCTGGTGGAGCAACAAGGGCGGCACTTGTACAGCATCTGGTACACAGAAGCCTGAAAATAAATTTATTTTTTACTAATGAAATACTTTTTTATTATACAGAATATTTATTTTCACTATAGGCATTACAGAATAATTTAGCAGACGTTTCAGTCAAAGATGGAAGTCAAGAGACATGTATAAATTTAATAGCATCTTTTGTAGGAATTTTAATACTTTCTACTGTTCATAGTGGCAGGTAGATATTCAATTACGTATATTTGTTACCATCAGTATAATATCAGCACATAATTATGCACTAAATGTGGTAATAATATCGATGTTCCAATAGTATATATAATCTGTATGTAGATACGTAATGGAACTCTATCTCTTTCTGGTGGTAATACATCTATACGCAAATTATTCGGCTGTGAAAGCATTATGTTTAAATTCATTAAACGAAGATCGTTTCGCTTTAATAGTAAAAAGTTACTTTACGAACGAAATCATTCCCGAACCCGCGGAGGTTAACAGAAATGAATCGGTGTTGTTGTTCACAAAACCTAGTAAGATCATTGATTTCAATTTCGTTTTAAGTAGATAAATATAAATCGCGGTCATACAAATCATTTCTCTCTTTTAGCAAGGAGTATATGTGGGTTTAATGTAAAAATGGGAGTCTCCTTGGCTAATCTTATACAAAAAGATATAATACCAACAAGTTACACGGAATTATCGTTAAAACTTTTTTTAGATAGAAAGTATTTGATTTCTATCGATGTACAGAATAGAACTATTTTTGTATGCCTCAAAAAAGATGCACAGCCATACGACGTCTTAGAAGCATATTTTCATGCTTGTCTTTGTGGATTGTTTATTTGTATGTCTTTGAAAGTGCCACTTGTAAGTAAAATAAATCGATTTGTATTTGTGTTTATTCTAAGGACATTGTATTTTTTCCAGGATCTTTTTTTAAAACCCGAAGTAAACGATTTATCGTACCCGTTAATGCGTCTTTACGTACTTAATAAGAAGTACTCCACTTCGAATAATGGCGTGCAGTCGTCAAAAGCCGTAGAAAGCATTTATGCTACTAATTTATTGATTTCTAACGAATACAAAGCATTTATTAGTGGCCTTGAAAGTAAAGGTAAGTAATTTTACTTTTACAAGATAATAATTTTGTTTTTTTTTTATTTGTACAGATATTTTTTCTAGGATGGATTACAGAAATTAATCTGTTGCCAGTAGCAGCTTGGAGATTTTTATAAAAATCATAAAATGGTAAAAACAAAGCACGAAGATTAAACAGTAAAATATTCTTGCTTTTTTTCTTGATATTATTTACCTCGATAAAATTTTATAATTATTGATCATTTAAGTAATTCTATCTCTGTATCTTCGAACTATTTGTTGGCAATGAGAAAATTATCTATAAATATTTTTTTACAAATTTTTATCACAGGTAATTATAGCATAGTGAAACTTATATGGAAACCAGTTTATTTCCAATAATTTATAAAAATATAACACGCCTTTAACCTGTACAAAATTTTTCAGAGAAGTTGAACTAAGACTCTTGTTCTTGTTTAGGGCCAGTCTGTGATAAATGTTTTACTATATCCACCCAGTCCCATCCTCGTGGTCTTTCACCTTTTCCATCTGCTTTGTTCCATTGTTTACGCTTCTGGGCTTTGCTCAGTTGTTCTTTCTTGGGTTTCTTTACCGTTTCCTCCAACTGTACATAACAAAATAGATCAGTTTCATGTACTTTGAATAAACTTAATGTCTCGTACAGTTACTTCTTACCTGTTGCTTCTCTTCGGTTAGTTTAAGCTGGCTAGTTTGGGAATTCATTTCAACAACAGAATCTGGTTGTGTAGAAGTTAGTTCTACATAATGTTCTTGGACACACTGAAATAACGTGTAAGTCATAGCACTTCCTAGCCATTGATCTGCCTCTGCTTCCACAAGTTTGACCACATTTTCTTTTACTTCTTGCACACTGTATTCCAATCATTCACCTTTAATGAAAGCAACAGAATGCAAGAATAGTCAAAGGACAGCATAGCTGGACTTACATATCCTTGTTGTAAAATGTGTTCATATTAATAATAGGCCTCTCGGATGGATATGTCGCACCCCATGATATTTCCAACAGAAACGATTTTATATCATTATCTTCTCCAAACTGTACGTAAAATAAGTGTTATACACATATGCATAAATTCCAATCTAAATGTCATAGAATCCGAAGAAATATAAGATTTAAACACGATCAAATCACGTTGAAAGTATTCATCGTTATATTTTACGATTTGGGCGAACTCGAATCATAGTCGTATACGAGTCAATTAATAATAAATTCAATATTTAATCGAAACGTTTCGGTAAAGTTTTTGGTATCGTTTTAATGGACAGACCTTATATTGGAAGGTAGTGGGTGTCAGCTGTTTAAAAGCTGGATCTCCATCGTATATTGAAAGAAGTACTTCTCTTTCCTCTTCCTGAAGTTCGGCATCGCTCATTTCCTTTTATCAACGTGAAATTTTGTTAGTCGAATTTTTATCGTGCGCACACCGTTCATGCGTTATTCTGAGGTTAGGAAAACAGGTAGACGCAGCTGTACAAGATCGTGCTGCCCCTGTTTCGTCATATGCGCCGTATTTCGAAATTCTGTATCGCAATCAGAAATCTTACACTCGATTTGAAATTCACATTGTCGCGTCGCGTAACACTCATTGCGAGATAATACACTTCGTGTCATAATTAACGTATAATTAATTGATTAGTTGACTTTTGGCGGGATTTTCTTTATGTTTTAATGAAATGGCGGGATAAATTTGCGAAAGAAAAGCTAAAATTCTCATTGGTTATGTATTATTACTAATTTCTAATTGGCTCTTTTAGAAATATCCGAATTACATTGGCCGAGTGACGAAATATGCAGGAATTCGCGCGGGATAGTGCAGTATCGTGATTCCTTGTTCTTGCTAGAATTTGTGAATATTTTAATTATCTACATTTGCTTAATATCTGTAGGCCAATAATTACGTAAGATTTGAAGTGAATAGCGTTAACAAATTCAAGAATCGACAAAAATGTGAGTTACAAATGTTACACTCTCTTTGAAATTCATATTGTCGCCTCGCTTAATGCTTATTGTGAGATAATTCACTTCGTGTCATAATTAACGTATAATTAATTAATTAGTTGACTTTTGGCGGGATTTTCTTTATGTTTTAATGAATTGGAGGGATAAATTTGCCAAAGAAAAGCTAAAATTCTCATTGGTTATATGTTATTTCTAATTTCTAATTGGTTCTTTTAAAAATAAACGAATTACATTGGTCGAGTGGCGAAATATGGAACTATTCGCGTGGGAAAGTGGAGCGGTCAGTAGTACTGGCGGGATTTCTGCAGAAAAGTGCAGCGTCGTAGTCCCTTGTTCTTGCTTGAATTTGTGAATATTTTTAGTTATCTACATTTGCTTAATATCTGTAGTCTAATAGTTATACAAGTTTCGAAGTGAATAGCGTTAACAAATTCAAGAATCGACTGTGAAAATGTGAGTTATATTTCATTTATATGTTATAACGTTAGCCATCAATTTTCTTTGTAAAAGTCAAGATATGTACGTTGTTGAGTACATAGGCCTGGTATCTTCACTCTTTTTTTCGTATCCGCGGTTTCTATATGAGGTAGCCTTAGCTTCGAGAGTTAACAAAGTTTCGTAAACGAGCGCGAGCGCTTCGCGAAACATCGGAGGCTCCCCACCCCGCCATCCAATTCACGAGCGTTACCGATCACAGCGAGGGGCCGCCATTTGCATTGCGAACTCGACCCAGCAAGACGTGTCGGAACCTGTTCGAACCTGTCTCTGCTTGTCTCGACTAACGGGGTACCGATTTTAAGCTTGTAGATACTTCATCATTATTACTAATCATATTTACGGTGCTTTCGTTTAGAATTAATACGTTTCTACTAAATTGAGTCTGAATTGTGACAAAACCTGAATCGTATTTCATACGTTTTCTTCGATATCAAACCGGCGTCGATTTATTATATCTCTCTCAACTAAATTACGTATCTTGTACATATTATTTCGAGTTCAATTGTTGTTTAATTATGATTAGATATGTTTCCTGTAATTCATTTGGTTTTCATTTGTATTTTATTTCTGTTGTAGACTCTGATTCGAATTCCAATGGAAGGCAAGTTACCGGCACACAATCGACAACATTACAATTTCAAATGGTTTAAGGATTGGTAAAATTTAATATACATTTACACATTCTTTACACATTTTTAACATTTTATCGAGTAATTATTTTTTGGAAGAATGATATATCAGTGTTCAGATTAAACAATAAAATCATTTTTAATTTGCTCTATAATCGATTTCGATTAAGTAGCAAATTAAACGGGAATTAATATTTATATATTTTTATCTATTTTTTATATTGACGGTAAATTGGAATGGTTTATATTTAACTGTATTCTGATCGCGAGTATTATTTATTTAATTGATTGTATACAATTCTGTCTTTATGAATTGTTGTTAATTGCAATTTACATACATATTTCGATGCAGGTTTTACGAAAATGTAAAAATTACGTACTTCGAATATGCTATTTAAGCATAAATAGCCATCAAACTTTAATTTTTGCAAATTTCGGAATATACATATAAAAATTACGAGGTATTCAAACATTCGATGAAACAAATATAATCATTCTTACAATTCTAACTGTGAAAGTTAGTGACATTACATTTATAAATTGAATAATTACTTGAAAGTGATTATTTTCTTGAATAATATTTTATATGTTAATACGACAAACTGTATACGCAATTCCAAATAAAGCAGTATTTCTGTTGATAGACATCGAATAAGGAAGAAGAAAAAAAAACTCATAGGAAAGGCACACGTGTGCTTATTGTATTTCTTGTATCCTATCCTACCTTTCTTTTCAGCATTTTCTTTCAGCAAAGTTGGCCGCGCGCAAGGCGGCTGGTAGAATCAGTGTTTACTGCGTAGCAACAGTTTGTTTTCCAGGGCAAAGTGACCCTGGTCGTTTACGTGTTAGGCAAACGCGATAGTAGAAGCAGTGTTTCTTACGACAATTTCTAAGTATTTCCAGAGCATCGTGGCTCTCTTTGTTTTCTGAATCGCGAGAATAGATTCATTTGTTCGCCGTTTTCAATCTTCGGTCGCGGTAAATTAATTTAATACCTTGCAATAAACATGATAATTTTTTTCATTTGAAATTAAAATTCGTTTGCGGTATTAGAGTCAAACACTGAAGAGGAGTACATATTAGGCGGTGCTCCACGAGCAAACAATGTAAGGATAAATTTATACTTTGCAATTTTTAATTAAAAATCTCTGTAGTTTTAACAATAGATTCTAATTGTTTTCTTACAGTTTTTTTACAGTCTCTGAACCTGATTCTGGTATCCAGCTGCAGTACCCGGGGGGGTATCGGGCGATGGACCACGAACGAACAACGTAAGTATAAATTTATACTTCTAAATTTTTAATTAAAAATCTCTATAATTTTAACAACAGATTCTAATTGTTTTCTTGCATTTTTCTTACAGTCTCATCCTGGAAACCTGCTGGACCATGCTGACTTCGTCGATGACTTCAACTGGTCAACATCGTCATCCGAGCATTTACATTCTACGATTGAGTGAGTCGCATGTCATTTATGTTCCTCTGGTCCCCAACCATGTTGTAGGATGAAAGATCCGAATCAACACGGGTGACCAGTTGTATACTTGCTATTTTTGACGAGTCAAGTGACCACGGGTATTTTCAATACCCGTGAGTAGTAACACAAATTGTTATATTTTTTTAGCGCAGGCTAGGATCTTCTTGCACTCGCGTTTTTTAATGTTACAAATAAATATTACATAATTTGATTATAAAATTTTTATACAAATATTTAGAACAATTTTTATTAAATATATGAAATATTTTTATTAACTTTACATGAATTATAGATTGAATAGAATATAAATTTATATAATATGAAAATATTATATTGATCATATGATAGAGTAGAATATAAATATTAATTACTATAGCATTATATAGTAATTTTGATAAAATTAATATAATTCTTAAATATTGATCGTATTTAATGTATTTTATGTGCAAGAAGACATTTCGCGACTGATCGATTTTCGAGTCAAAGTAACATCTATTGTATACTAGTTTCAACTTTTTAAAAATTTACTTTGACGACAGAATCGATTATGGATTGTTGAATTTTTTATAGAATGATTTATTAAATTTTTTTCAATAATATATTTCAATTTTCAAATAAATTAATTCAATCTTTAAAGTAAATTATCATAAAATCTTGAATAAAGTCTTTTGTTTAACATAATTAAAGTACAAATATAATAATTTTTTTCAATATTAAAATATTTTATTCTTGATATATTTTATATAACAAGTCGAGTCACTTTAGTTAAAAATTAAATAATAAATACCGTTTAGCCACATTTAATTAACCACTTTTTCTAGTTAGGATTTTCAGATTAATCTTTCCGTGTTCGTTGTCCAAGTTCATGCACATGCCCAGGTGCTATTTGCATGAGCGAAGGCAACGGACACGATGACTTAGTTTATAACCATTTCTAATAATGTATTGGCGACTGACATTGGCTGGTGTATCGTGCACGGTGTACTTTCCACATATGTGTGTGTGGTTAGGCTGTGGGAAGTGCGCCGTTTCAGAAGTTTTTAGAATTACAATTTACATACAGAATTTTATAACATTCAATTTTTATTAGTTATAATAATAATATTAAATCGCCATTTACTATTTATTCGACAATTGTTGATGTTGCACTCACGACAGAAATATTATAAAGTGCTTAATAAATTAGCTTTACAATTTTATATAATCATACGTGTATACAATATATTTTATTGAAGACTATATTACACAGATTGAGACGTTCTATACAAATGTTTAAGTATACATATAATAGAAATACGCAATGGTCACTAGTCTTTGTCAGTCGATTTCAGGAACTGGTATGTAACCTTAGAGAGTGATTGAAGTGTTATGTCCGGGTGTCGGAGGAACCCCGGGGAGTCCTCTCTAGTTTAGGTCGCGCCCGGACATTGAGAATGAGAACCGTGGAGTGTTTGTTTGTTTGATTGAGTTTTGCAATTTTTTAAATATAGGGTTAGGTAGGTAGGTAACTTTCTGTCTGGTGTGTGTGTGCTTAATCTAAGTAGGTAGGGTCAGGGCAGGACTGTCCACATTAGTAATTCGGGTAGGCGCGTTTTCGCGTGGCAGTTCTGTTCCTGTAGTTACGATTTCGAGAGTAGAAATCTTGCTGATTCAAACGGTGTATGCTGTTTGTTTTAGCTTTATTTTCGACTTCTCGAATCGCGCGACTCTTAAAGTCGCTCTCTCGGGTTCGCGGTCGTGATTAGGTCCCTTACGAAACGCTCGCCCCCCTCGAGATTCACCACGTATGCTCTTTCAACAATTCGTATATTGTTGGAAGACTACGTATTGCACAAAATCTCGAGCCAAGTCTTAAGTAAGTTTCAGGCATCGGCAGGACCGCCGAAGAAAGAAAAGACTCTATGTGAGTTGAAGAGGCCCTGACAAACTGTTTCAAGAGTGGGCTACAACGAATGGCTTTTCATTTTCATCTTCTGATGAGAATGGAAAG